CTTTCAGTCTTTGACTTGTATCAATGTATCAAAAAGAACGCAGACCCAAACGCAGACTGCGACTGGCAGAGGTGCCCCCACAAGCTCTTCGTCAGCGAGGCGGTTAACTCCTCCGCCCGCCCGGAGGAGTTCCTGCACATGGAAATTGTAGCTGAATAGATCGTTTCAACAAATTGGAACTCAGGGGTTCAAAGAAGGAAGATGTAAAAAAATAGACAATTAATATACAGTATATACACAGAATGTGATATATAGTTGAGGTGGTTGGTGGATGTTGGTGGGATTTTGCACGGCCTGTGCTTATGCTTGAGACTCACCTGTTCATAGGATACTCCTGTTCAGTGCTCCACCCTGAAATCCGTTGAGTTCAGAGCGCTGGAGTCATTTGTCCCCGAGTCTTGGTACAACGTCCCTAAGACCACTTTCACTCAAAGCCCTCAATGATCCTCACCATGAGAGTCTTTAGCCCAGATCTGGTGGGCTTGGCACAAGCTCAGTCGTTCATCTTTAATAGAACCGCGTCACAAGGGTTTCTTCCATGAACTGGTAGTAACTGACAGCAAAGACTCGGTCCTTCATTCATCGATGCTTCGGTCCCACAGAGACCGGTCGTGAAGTCATGGCACCGGCGAAACCCTGCGTCGCGTCGCAGGTGCTGCGTCGCATATTGGAGACATCTGAGCTGCAGGCGGGTCACGGTGCCGTGTGGGTCACGGTGCAGGTCACGGTGTGGGCGCGTGCAGGGAGACCCCTCACCCTGACAGGCCCTGACACCCCCACACAGGCGGACCACAACCCTGAGAAGGAAATTCACCCGTGTTTCCGGCCATTTTCCAAAGACCGACCCAGTGGTTTTGGGGGTCCATGTGGCTCTTTTGTCAGCTGGAGGGTACTTTAAAAGGAGGAGTTCTTGGCTGAAGGACCCAGAACAAAGAATTGGATGTCCTGTATCATGTATCTCCTCCCAGAGCGCCTCATTCTCTCTCATGGTGACTCTTCAGTTTGCTGGACATGGTCCATTTGGGGAGGCCCACTGACCTGGCTGCGAGACTTGGCCAGGTCGAGGAACGTTCCTCTTCCGAGTTCAGCATACCGCCTAGCGGTTTTCTGCTTAGCAATCCCTGCAGGACCCTGCATGTACCGGGGTCAAAGAGGTTCACGTGAAGGTCGAGCAGCAAGAGGCACTGATGGTGGAGCGGGTACGAGCAGCAATGAGAGCAGAGCAGATTGGTTCTTTGCGCGTCTTTATATGCGCCACGGTCAAAACATGCGAAGACCACTTTAGTAAAGAGGGGTAGGTTTGTGCACAAAACCCTGCAAAACGATAAGGTCCACCTCAAAACCGATAACCCCAGCGCTGTATATGGTCATAAGTATGCGACGAACTCAAAACGCTGTAAAATGATAAGGTCCACCTCAAAACCGATGACATGACGTCCATTTTTAAGCTGAAGAAGAATAAGGAGTTTTGACCGTCCCTCATATAGATGATTTTACTCCCCTGCAAATTGATAAGGAACCCCAAAGTAACTGGGTTGTGGGAAAGTGTCTTCCACCGGTCAATTCTCAGGTTCATCGTGACAGTCGCGATTCGACCGACTCGTCAATTCGAGAGACGACCGGTCCTCACCCAGGTCGGTGCCAAAAGCCCCCGAACCAAGTGCGGCCCTCCACCTTTTCCTGGAACATGCCATAGCATGCCGAAATACCAATGGGTGTGTAGCGACCTAGACATGGGAGACCGAACCGCTGGCGTAACCCGACCCCCTGGTAAAAGAAGGGACATAGACCAGTCTGCCCGGTCTGGGGTCTCTTTGTTAAGATACACAACCAAATCTAGGACTTCAAGAGTCCCTAGTGTCGGAGGATCAGTCGGACCCAAACAGACTCTCCCGCCATGCTGCTCGGTTGCCATGCTCCCCTCGGTGGAACAGGCCGGAGCCTGAGATCCAATAACCAACCATCCCTAACCCAATTGTTTCATGGACCTGTGATCTGTTCTGGAAAGTGCACGGGAATTGCACCTTCACGTCTTTTTCCTAGGTGGAACTGATCGGCTCAGGACGATCGCCCTTGTTCACTCGTCCAGTGCGATCGTTGTCGACACCGAACAGGAAAGAGCGCCTCGCAGGTCTCCCTGGAATGCGAAGGGATCAACCTTTTTGGCCTTCAAGCGCTTCCAATGAATGTGGTGCCCTGGTCTGGTGTGTATGTGTATATGTTTGATGGTTTTTGTTCGGAGAGCGGAGAAGAACGGAGTGTTTCTTCACCAAAGGTCCCGCTCGGGTGATCCGGGAACGACGAACGACACGGTGAATTGACGATCCCGGGCTTTGCAAAGTGGGATCTTGAAAGGGCCCAACCATACACCTTAGGAGCAAGAAGCTACTAGGAGCAAAGGGCATCGCTACGAACGGAGCAAGGACGGAAGGTGACACTCCCTGGACGGTGTGGTAAATGCAAACCCAAGCGGAAAGCCACTGTTACTTCATGTTGCTTCGAGTTGAAGCTATTGCGGGGGTACTGCAGATCTTGCTACTCTGGATGGTTTGTTCCTGTGAAAAGAAGGGGATGCGAAGCAAGAGCAACGATGGGCACATGTCCGCTGATCGTCGCTGCATTCCTGTGATTTTGAGACGGATTCATGCTGACAACTTCTTGGTGCCAGAAGGCTGATCCAAAGCATGTGCTGATCCCTCACCCAAGCCAGAAACAGGAGCCCCGACCCTTGAAATCCAGGCTGCTTTTGGGTCCATGTTCGACACATTGTCCTCCAGCTTAGGTAGACCATCGGAAGATCTACACCAACGACATCAGGACAAGCTCTTTGGCATTGGGGGAACAGCACTGGTGAGAAGACATTTCAACTTGGACACACCAGGCCCTGGCAGCCATCGCATACTGCCATCGCACACCCAAACCACTTGGGACCAATTCATCGGAATTCTCAGGGTCCGACCTCCTCCATCCTCGGTTGGACCCGATCTGCCAAGATCCGCCGAGATCTCGGGTCGGACTCCAAACATCCAAAGAACTTGGGACGCCAGGAAGATCTTGGAGGTCTATGGTGTGGAAGCGGCCCGTGCGTCTGTTTGGGAGACCTGGAAATGACCGCTGGTGGGGGTTTGGTGTGGGGTCTGAGACGGTCTGTGGGTTGTTTTGAAAGATAACAGATTATGTTTGAGGATTTTGCTGTGCCTCACCAAAGGAAGACCACATCTTCATGTGTCGTTTCTAATCGGTTCTTGCCCAGACCCGTCCGTTTGGACAAAGTTGTGCATAAATATGAATAGACTGGTTGATGGACAAGTCCATCTTGCAGCACCTGACCTTAGCATCCTGGCATTTTCACCAAGTCTCAGCCTCGGCTGTCTATTTTCTGCCTCTGTGGCAACCGCTGTGGCCTTCCGTTCCGCGGCCTTCCGCGCGGCACAGGTGGTGAAGGAGGTGCGAAACGTCTTCGGCCACTACGGCATTCAGGCACATCCAGCACGGGCATAGTACGGGACTGAAGGAAGGAATAGCACCCCACGGTGGTGCACCGCAAATCAAATCAAATTTGATATCATATCCGATATCATTGAACAGCTTAGTTGCTTAAAAATTGGTGTCGCGACCAAATGGTCGAGGCGAGGTTCGAACACAACTCTCTGCAATTGATGGTGGGAGTCAATGGTTTGTGATCAGAATTATGTACTCAGAACTGGAGAATTTATTATCCTCTTCGTCGGACATCATAAAACATATACGTGTGATACGATATGATATGATATGATATGCATATCTGAAGAACCAATTGTCTTGTTTGAAGAGTATTGACCCAAATTTGAAGAGGGTCTTCAACTCAGATGTTTGAGCTTGGCACTGGTCAATTCTAAACTAAACCAGGTTTTTAGAGTTAGGATGTTTCGTTGGGGTACGGTATTACTGCGTAGAATAAACCAAAAGTATCACAAAAGCAGGATGGTGCTCTCCATCGCTTGATGGTTTTTGCTGCCAGCTGCAATCGCTCAGTGAAACATCTTTAAATGTCGCACAAATGTTTAGTGTTGGCAGGTCTGTTTCCCCCTGCTGATGTCCAGGCTAAGCATGCAGCTTGTGGAGTTTCTGGAACAAAGTCTCGACCAGCCGATCGACCAATCTCTTCAGAGAAGACTTCAGTATGGTTCTTCCACTCCTGCTTAGGGACAGTTGATAGACTTCCAGTGAAAGCAAATGAAATGCAATATGCCCAGGAGGAGGACAACACCGAACCTGAAAACCACTGGTGAACGTGGAGGAAGAGAGTCTTCCAAAGATCCATGCCTTCAGGTTTCATGTGGGTCTCTTCCCGGGTGTACAGCATGTTCTACAACGTCCAGTGTGTTGGGCATTGACATCATTGGGCGTTACCGCATCGCCACCATTCGCCACCTCAGGTGAATCATCGCCACCTCTCCCTGATCGCTGACTACATGGCCCAGGGGGGCGACTTGCGACCGAGCCTTTGGTGGAGAATTGGGCGTTTTTGAAAGGAAACCGTTTTTTCTTCCAATGCGTCGTCACGAGTCATGCTCCCAACAAGTGGATCGGGAAGAAGGAGTCTAACTCCAGGTGTAAGATAGGGTATCACTCAGAAAGGCCAACTTGAAGATGGCAGTCGAAACGCACCCAAAGCCTCAAAGTGAATTTGTTTGGGGATATTTCGTGACAGTGAGGACATATTTATGAGATGTTTTCTTGTGAGGGCGTCCGATATGTCCGTGTCAACAATCCTAGGACGACCATCCAAGCTAAGAGTGAGTGGGTCTATGGCTATGGGGGTCCCTGGTCCCTGGTCAGGACCTCAACACTTGAACCCTTAAACCGTTTACTGCACCCCTCAAATGTGGCTCAAAAAACGAACGAGCAAGGTTTGTTTTTGGCCGAAGCCCGTGCAAAGGTTCAACCGCATGGGGATGACCAGCTGCCCGGGGCGCCCGAGCGAACGCGAGCAAACGGGGGGGGAAGACGTCCAGTCGCGCCGATTGACGCGCGGCGAATGAGGTGCGAGGAGTCAAAACAATGGGTGAATGGCATGGCAAGAGTGTTTGCTCAGTTTGATGAGTTTGTTGGGTTTGGGGAGAATTTGATCATATGATTTTCTGTAGCTAACCTGACTAACTTGAGGGGATTTGAGGCTTGATTTTTGTAGTGAGGTTTCCAAATCAGGTTAGCTGGAGGATGTCGTGAGATAACACCCAGAGTGAAGAGAGTATTCTCATGTTTCCACCTTTTTCCACCAAATGAACATCCACTTTTTTAGAGTTGTTGCTTGGAAGGTCAACAAGATAGCTATCAAATAAGCGAGAAGCAGAAAGCTAAGCCTGACTGCTTCAACCATGCTGGCTGAGTCCACCAGCCTCCGGCCTTTGCACCGTGCCGCACCGCAGCGTCCCCGGGGCTCTGTCGACCGGCGCCAACGGCACACCGCCAACATCACACCGTGACCATCATGTTTTGCTGCTGCGTCGCCGAAGACGATAGAGCCAGCCAGGCCAGAACATCCGGTTCAGGAGCGCGGCTCAATGTTGCTGCTAAAGCTACTTTATAGTAGCAATGCCCTTGTTACTATAGTAGCTACCAGCTCGAAATGCGAAGCCAGATCACACTGTGCCCCTGTTCAAAGCTGATAGCATGTTCACGCTGGGTGCAGATATATTGGTTCTACATGGTTCTACAGTCAGTCAGCCTAAACCACTCAAGTACTATAATGCATCAATATGAGGCATTCTTTTCCAAGCGCGAACCTGTCGGTGATCCTAAACCGAACAAATCCGTTGAAGGCACATGCTGCTCAATCCAACTGTATCGGTGAGTACTGATCCGGCGGTCCGCGATATCGAGCGGCGGAGCCTTTGGGAACTGACTGAGTGATGTTGCGACATGAGCCAAACCTGGTGCATGTATAAACTCCAGTGATTGCAATGCGATTGCAAAGAATCTTGCGGAAATGTGGTTGTTTAAGGAGCTCACAAGACACCATGCATATTGTTTTGCTCGAGAAGAGAGGTATATAATTGCAAATTTGCGGCTATTCCTCGGAACTGACTATCACCTTGAAAAGTGAGCTGCGTCTTTTTAAAAACTAGAATTAGATGAGCACCAATGAGCTGTTAAATCGACACCAATGAGTGCAATAATTACTGGGATTATCTGGGATTTGAAAAGGGGTGAAAGGAATTGACAGAACAACTTGTGGGTAGTACCCAGAATTATCGCGGTCACACCAGGAGCACATTGCCCATGTTTTTTGTGCAGAGAAGGTAGGTTCGTCTTCCGCTGCAAAAGCCCACGAAGGCACTCGCGAAGGATTGGCGTAGGCGAGCAGTAGCTTTTTCTCCGCTAGCCCTTCATCATCTCAAATGTTGTTTGTAGCGCTTATGTGGGTAACATGTTGTCATCATGTCTGCTTGCAAGAAGACTTAGTCAGACTTCACCGCAAGAGATCAGAGGTGGAGAAGACAGCCTTTGCAGACACGGTCATGGAGTCTTGTCTGTGAGCAAGAGCCAGCACGACAAAAGCGCAGCCTGCCAAATCACTTGCGATAGAGAGCCCGATAGACATTTGCTCTCCAAGGCTGCTGCTCGCCTGCAGAAAGCTGCGGAACAGAACCGGCACCAAATCCAGGCTTTGCGCCCTTCTGCAGCATCATCTTCAGCAAGTTATATAAATCATTTCTTCCTCGTCGTCCTCGTGTGCTAGCGCTTCAAAAGGTCCCGCATGTGCAGGCACTCGCCGCCAGTCCGCCAGTATTTGTGCTAAGGTTTGTGTTGGCACCCTTTGCAGAAACGTTCTCCCTGCGTAGGTGGTCATTGGGGACTACAGGGTCTGCCACACGGTCATCCAGCCAGAGATACTTGGTAAATCACTCGTCACTATGCTATACTGTGACACATCAATGTTTAATCGAACACAACGCTGTGACCTTGTCACGTTGTCTGAATCCCTCGTGGTCTCGGACCTCTTCAGGTCCAAATGGGCCACGTCTTCGGGCGTGGCACCCACGAAGTGGCCGCGCCGTTGCTATCGCAGGTGGACATGAAGCACACCCTGGCCAGCGACGAGGCAGCGCCCAAGAAAGAGGAGGGTGCGGCAGCGGGTGCGGCGCCGAGTGCGAAAGGTGCCGAAGGGGTGAAGGCTGCGGCAGCTGCGCCGGCCTTTGGGGCCTTCGAGGTGGTAGTGAAGACGAACAAGTCCAACCTGGGTGGCCCGGTGAATCAAAGAAGTGGAGGAAAGGGGGGCCCAGGATGAGAAGTGGGCGAATGCAGATGGAGAAGTGAGAGGGGTCAAGAAACAAGAGATACGAGGTTGATTAGTGCATGCAGAAATGGGAGGTTTGAGCAAAGTGTACTCATAACTCATAACACAATCACTAACCCCCAGATAGCCTTTGACTGTCGCAATCCTGCATCGCCGAGTGTGCACTTAAAGAATCTTAAAGACGTTTGCAAGGCATGGCAACAAAGTTGAAGCACCACTAGACATGTTCTTGGACGTGTTTGTTGTGTCTCGTTTGGTCCATCAAACGTCCGCCTGCAACGATTCCTGCTGTCTTTGTTTTGTCACGAGCCCGGTGAGGCATTGAACTGGACAAGACCGCCTCAAAGGTGAAGGGTGGAGCGATGGTCAAGGTGCGGATGGATGGTGGGTTCTGCCGTTTATTCTGGCGTTTGGGGCAAGTTTGAGGCCCTTGCAGTCGTGAAGTTGTTGCGTGTCGCGGGCCAATTTCTTTTGGGAGGTTGCCGAGTCAAGGTCGTTTATCCCAGAAGTTCAACAAAGCAACCGCTGTGGATCTTATCCATTTCAAGTTTGAGAGTAGGTCGAAGACAGTTCGCCCTCGATTCCTCTAATCCATTTCAAAGTGGGAGTTGGGTTCTCCCTACACCAAGCTTTTCAGTCGGAAGCAGCTTCCAAGCCTAGTACGGTGGACATCCAGTCGTGGGTCTGGAGCTGTGAGTTGCTCCTTCGCGGCTTGCCAGGTCATCAAGTCTGGTGCTGTGAAGCAGTTCAACGAGCTGAACCCCGATCAGGCGAGGACCCACCGTCGGACGAACCGGAGCTGGGACTCCCGGAGGCTGTGAGAAAGGGCACCGAAGACCTCACCAAACCATGGTGTTCGGATGGACTTCGGTTGACATCACAGTTCTGTCAGTCGGATAGCCTTCATCAAATGCTTGGGATCGCTGGATTTGTGTGGTTTTCGCGGGTGTTTCCTTTTCTGTACTTTGTCCCCTTTTGGCTTGATTTTCCAGGGAAGCAATTTTTGTCACACATCACCCCTTGCAAGTCTTGATCCCACAAAACCTTCATCTCGGAGTTGATGCTGGCACATAGAAGTGGCCGGACACCGAATCTGTCCAGACATTCAAGTTCAAATTGAAAGGTCATGATTTATGGCGTACTAAGGCTACTAAGGGGCATGCAAGAAAACTCCTTGCCAGTCTCCTTGCCAAAAGTGCCCTTGATCATTTAGACATCTTGCCAAAAGCCGTCGAACACCAGCAGCTGTCAGCCGGATCCTCCGATATCCTTGCATCCACGAATTACAAAGCTGGGTTTCGGTCCAGGCCATTCAAGTCTACGATGAGATCACATCCTTGGATGAGGCATGCTGGGTCCTTGCGCCGGATAAACCGGTCTTGTGGACAACAAATCTGCGGGGGAGATCTGCAAACGAGCAGCATCCTTTGATTTAGCAAGGACAGGCCCAGCATCCCTGGTACGTTGTTGTCGCAAGTAAGAGCAGTGGAAGTGAGCACCATGTTTTCTGAATCAATCCGCAGTCAGCTAAGGAGTCTTGCAGAATGTTAGATTAGGAGTTATTATAGGAGGGTCAAGTCAACGGCTTCTGTCCAAAGGATTCGTGGACGAGATACCTACTGGGTTGCCAGATCTTTTTGTGTATTATGTGTATTGTTGTGTATTGTATGCGCTTATGATTGTATAATTGTATATGTATCTTTGGATTTGTTTCTTTTTGGGTATATGTGTATGCTCTCAGAGGTGGACAGAGGTGAATCATGGTGATATGTGAACAGTTTGCAACTTGATGCAACTTGTGAACTGTTTACATGTTCACTGGCAACTCTGCAAACTCTCAGAGGGGTAGCCAGAATTGAATAGACCAATCCTTTGCCGTTGAGATTGCATCACACAATGCCCCCCCACACACACTTGCACACATGTTCGATTCACGTTGCTATCTTGCCCCTTGCAAAATCCACGTTTGGTTCGCATGGCGAAATCCCGCCGTGCTTGACCGCACTGGCTCGCTGAAGGTCACAGGCACTAAGGAGATCGAGAAGAAGATGAGTGGCTTGAAGGGAACCTCTCGAGGCCGTGTTTACAGAAATCTGGCATCACAGTAGGAGCAGCTGCATGAACAGGACACCACTAAAACTAAGATCAACTGACTAAAATCAACTAAAATGACTGATGAATGTTCATTTGCCAAGAAATCAAACACTTATTCATGGGAGGTGGAACAGCAAAACACTTCGCGATGGATTTGTTGACCTGATGTTTCTTCTCGACCTGCGCCCGAACAAATCATCCTGGCCAAAAGTACTTGTTTGCTTCCCGAAGCTTTGAGTTTGTGCACTTTCAGGAGGATTCCACTGATTGCACACTGCACACCTGCAAAAATGTATCGTGCAGCTTTATGATAGTCTTAGAGTCTTTGTGGTAACCTTGCAAGTACTCATGGATGTGTGTTTGAATAGGGTGACCACAAACCATCACAAAACCAATGAATTTAGTCTATATATGTCCTCTTCTACAGGCTTCTACAGGGAATTAGGGGCCAACCTATTTCAATACAATGGATGTGTTACCTTTTTCATCTCTTTCCTGGCCTCCCCCTGTTTTCCCTCGTTTTTTCCATCACTGGCCCGGTCGGGCGCTGTGTGTTAAAAGCCGCCCGAGGTTCCAAGCTGCCCGAAGAGGTGAAGATGCAGTTGGATCGCCCCCGCAAGATACAGGCGAAGCATATTAATTAGGTTCAAGGACGCAAGTAGGGTGGAGGCCATCGCCTGTAGGGTGGAGGCCATCGCTACTTAGGTTCCTTCTGCTATTAGGTTGGAGGACGCAAGTGCAGCATGCTGGTATCTAGTTGGTTCTATCATGTTTTATCCACCTGCAACGGATGACTTGTTCTCTTCTTCCGCAGTGTCAGAGTGGGATAGCACAAGATGTTGCATGCAATCCCAACCATCTCTGGATATACTGTGCAATCACTTTACAGTGGATTGAGAGTAGATGGCACAATCACCAAAAGGTGGTTTATATGGATCCCCATCTAAAAGACATCTTGGGGGTTGTGTCATCTACTCTGAAACCACTGTAATTCTCCGATCGCTTACATACTGTTTGCTGGCCAAGTCCTGCCAACACGGAGCGTTCCTTTAAAGAGCAAAACCCTGGGGAATCAGGGTGTGTCAAAAGGTGCCTTTGGTTAAAACTGAAGCCTCTCCGACCCAGACTTAAGCAAGCATCTTCTTCTTCGTCAAGCGGTAGACGGTAGAAGATGTTGTTCCAAAGAACCCATCGCAGGCCCTGCATCACTGGACAGCCGTGCGGTAAGAATCACCGAACACGGCACAGGTCACTCTGGAGAAGCCGGGGATGTTGGGGATGAAGCTGGACTCTTGGCTAAAGAACACGTTCACGCAATGGTGTGGGTCAAACAATGGGTTGAACCCCAAAACCGTAGGTTGACAAAATTGGTATGTCGTCCATTCTGAGTTTTGCTTGTTGTTGGAGGATCGACCACAGTCCAAGGAGCCCAAGTGTTTTGACAGTACGGATCCTGCGTTGCAGTAGGGGGCAGACGACTTCCACCCAAACTTGGGAAGCATCGGAAGCATCACTCACTTCGAACTTGTTTGCAGAATGGGCAGGGAAGGGTCCCTGAGGTAAGCTAGCATGGAGTCATAGGAGTCCTTGAGATAGAATCTCCTCATCTACCAGCTGCTTCCAAGGGGTTATATACCTGGCTGGACCATTGGACACCCATGGGAAGCGCTAGGTATCTTAATGATTCTTAATGTTGTTTCCTTTTTCCATGGACGCGTTTCGGCGTCAATGGAGTGGCCGCTGTAGCAGACCTGCACTATTGGGAAAGGAAGAAACCTGTCAGAAACACCGAGGCAATCGAAGGATACCAAATGGCCGCAGGGCAGGGAAAAACCATCGTTCATCCAGTTTGAAGTGCGCAAAAGGATGTGAAGTATTTCACGCTCGTTTCCAGGCCGACCAAACCCGCAGAACACCCGCAGAACCGGCGTCTTTCGGTCTTTTGACCGATTGAAATGCTTTGAATGATACATTTCCAGTCACAGAGCTCGGGCTGCGATCGGAACTCGGGGTGCCCATGATGTACTTGATGGGACGAGCCACAGCGCCCAACTCCATGTCACTGGATGGATTCGTACCCTATTCTTATCTAGGAGCGTTCGGACGCTGCTGGCTGGCCTTACGAACGGAGCGTTCGGACGCTACGAAAGTCGCTTGTGGCCACCTGAGCCAAATCCGGAGACCACGATGTCATCGTCGTCGTCAGGACTTCGGCTCCAAGTCGACGGGTGTGGCCCTTCGCTGGAAAAGGTGGAAGCGGGAGAAACCGGAAGCCTGCCTGGTCCACATCACTTCGGAGGCCTAATCATGTAAGTTGTACCTACAAAACATGCTACAGCTGCTACAGGTTTGATCTCTGTCAGTGCAGAGAGAGGGTTGATTCTTTGTGCAGCAACTGAGAGTGGTTTTTGCAGCGTTGTGTGACTCGAAAGGTGAACTTGGACGTTGTCTTGACCATTTGTTCAATATCCAAACAGAGAGGATATCCTGACTTGTTACTCAAAGTCCTGTGATCGTCCTATGATATGAGGATTGGACAATAGTGATGCTCTTGGGCCAGACCCAATTGTTCTTCCTTGAGTTCTTTAAGCCTTTCAAGGCCTTTTGCTTGGGTGATTTTCCATCACCAGACCAATTAGTTTTATTTTTTTACATCTTGTATACCTCGCTCAGAACTCTTGGCTCAAATCCGAAAGACTGTTTGATTGTAGCCAATCAAATGCCTATGCGTATACAGTATATTAACATAAACCATCACTTGGGATTTGAGCCAAGAGTCTTGACGGGGAGGTAACCATATCAACAACTCTTGTTTCTTCAAGGGTACTTCAAAGGTCCCGCTTTGCCTAAACCGGTGGATGAGCCAGCTAACGGAAAAAAATCCCGCTCACACACACAAACTGTGAAGATCACAGGAGAGTACCTGGAATGATTCAGCACGCCGTAAGACAAGTAGGTACGCCGAAGATCTTACAATGTTGATTAAAATTCTGCAGCCTTTTGCAGAGTTCTGCCATCAAGCCGAACTAATTACTGGTCCTTCCGACCACGCCCTGGGACTTCGCACGGTGACGACCTGGGACCTGGCACGGACCGGGTCCGGGGATACATCAGCCCCTGAGGTTGTGGAAGAGTTGATGTCCGATGGGCTCATGGCCAAGTGGAATGTAGGGAAGAGCGATGAAGAACAAGTGAAAGGAGGTGGGGATGGGATGGGCCAGCGGAAAAAGTTTGATGCGTTTGTTTGTTTTTAGTAGGGTAGTTGTGTGTGTTGTGTTCTTTTGTGTTTTGTCGTCTTGTTTGTTGCTTACTTACTTAGTTAGATAGATAGTTAGCTAATTAGGTAGTTAGTTGGTTAGTTAGCTACTTAGTTGGTTAATGGGTTTGTTTGTCGGTTTGTTTGCTCGTCTGGGGAAGGACCTACGGGACCGGTCGACCGAGGGTTCTGATGGGACCAGTTACTGCAGGGATGATGAACTCAAGATGATGAAGGCTATTGAAGGCTGCAGGAAAATCGTCTCAGATGGAGTTGCTGACCAGAAGACCGTTTCGTTTCAGTGTTCTCCATCATACCAGAGGGGTGGCAGGGTCGAGGTTTTCACATGTTTTGCACAGGTCATCCCTGGCCATTTCGAGAAGGAAGCCGGAAGTGAGATAGTTCTTACAAGATGGTCAAGGGGAAGGGCATAGCAACTCAAGCAAATGGCGAGTCAAAACCTCCCTCACCAATCCATGGTTGACATCAACATAGACTAGAGGAATTTGCTCATATTCAGGGTCCGCTGCTTGACTCCGGTGCCATGACCCACAGCCAAATCATGAACCTCCCGGAGAGAGGTCCGAAAAAAGGAACTCGGTCTCGCCAGTGCCCATTGGGTGTTGAACACACCAAGGGAGCCCAGCGCTAAGACTTGATGGTCGATGAGGGACTCCGGACAAAAAAAAACGGGACGTTTGGGATGAGCTCATTTGGGAGGTTTGTTCCATGCCAAACGGCTGGGTGAAGCATACTAATCCTTGGTCCCATTGGTCGCCCTTGTGATTCAGGTGACAGGATCATCGAGTGCAACGGACAGGTCTATGAAGGAGCGCGAGAAACGGAAATGGCTGAGATGGCCATATGTCTTGACAATCTGACCAACCGTGGAATCTTTGCTCAATGTTTTGCTTGAGCCGGGTTTGGACCAGACACAAGACGTAGACGAAGAAGAACCGTTTGCCGAGGCTGAAAGGGGCTCGCCTTTTCAGTCGATGGGAGGTGAAGGGAGTCTCATCGAAAGCTCGCTCCTCATGCGACTCGAGCACCGAACCTATGAACTGAACCTTAAACTCGCTGAAAAGGCGCCAGGGTTGGTATTGAAACAAACAACATGAGTAATGCGTTGTAGAGCTCTCCCTCATCAGGTTCATCCAAACTCGCTTTTCAAAGCGCCAAAGTAATTACGGGTGTTGACAAACAACCTGTGCACCTGGGCCAGCAATGCTACTCCCCTGCAGAGGACCATATGGAACCTCAAAGCCACAGACTTGGTATTCGGAAAATGGACGCCACGAATGAAGTCCTTCTCAGGCATGTGGTCCGTCTGCCGGGGGGTAACACACAAATGACTGGACATGCTGGATCGATCTGAGCTGTGGATGCGGGGTCGATCTGAGCGCCCTGCCACCCTGCTTTGTGCTGTTAAGAAATGGAGACTGAGACACGTCCAGACGCTTGTTGGCGTCTCCAGCGACTTGGCTAGACCCGACAGATGTTCTAGGGTCTGGCGCTCGCAGACCATTTCATGGTTTATTCTCCACCACGACTTGTTCCCGACCTGTCAGGTGAGAGTTGTTCGATTTTATGTCAGCTGCCGCCCTCCTCGTCCTCGTCCTTCTCGTCCTTCTCGTCCTCCTCCGCCTCGTCCTCAGCCGCGAGTTCTGGCTAGCAGTGTTCCCCGTCGGACCTCAACCGCGAGGTCCGCTTGACAGTGTTCCCAGCCAGACCTCAACCGCCAGCTCAAGTGTGATTCTTTGCACAAGCAGCTGTTTCTAAACAGGCTTGTGGCTTGTGACACAGTGCATTACTTTCATGCTATAGTGGCTTGAAATGCCGCATGGTGATCTCTCGAAGTTAAGTATTTTTTTCTGCACACATTGGTGCGTTCATGTTGCTTTGCTTTCCTGTTATGCAAGGTGTTCTAGTGATTGGCACTTCTCCGACCCCCCCGAAATCCAGCAGTTGGATCAATAATAGACAGCCCTCGGCCAAGAAAGACATTTAGGTGCTGGCGGCGTGCTTGAACAGATCCATGTCCTAAAGAACTACCCGGCATGATCGAATCACATTCATGATAAAGGTTGACCGACAGGCGGTGCGTTGCCTATTTTCCGGAAACAAGTCGATGTTGCGCAGAGGTTCCTTCATTGCAGATGCATGTTCAAGAGGTTTGGAAAAATCACTTTTCCGGAGAATGCAAACTTTCATAGATTGCCTGAAACAGATCCATATTGCATCATATTGCCTCATAGATTCCCCAATAAGGCACATGCAACGAAACACATTCCCTGCCTTGATTGACCAAAAAACAAGTTTTCAGGTACTCCAGATTCTGAAGCATGTACGGATGGCCCACACACTCATTGCCGCACTGGTTTCTGGGACACACAAACCACAAACCGAAGAAGGGATTCTTTGTCCGTCCATAAGACGTACTGTATCAAAAAACATCACATAAGAAAGGCGTTTGAAACCGATTGGCTGTTTTCCAGGACCCAAACTCTTGGATCAACTCAAGAAATTGGACAAGATGACGCTCACTGTCCTGAAGTACAACCAGAAGAGCTGAGTTGAGTTCTTTCTCGCCGCCTTCCGAAGCGGAAGGCACCTTCGTGTCCGGCCGAGCGGCGTTCTTGTGGCGACCAATGATGTTGGAAGTGTCAGTGTGTTTGTATGTTTTTGTTTTTTTTTTGACAGACCTTTTAGGACTAGTTTAAAAAAAAAGAAAAAAAACATGTGTGTATATATATATATATTATAGATTGTAAAAATCAGTTTAACTATATGTTGTTTGTGTGTTTCTCACTCATCATTTGTTCCTCATCAGTTTTTGTTGAAAGAATTGCATTCTTCCTTCAGATGTTGCTGTGGTCAAAACCCTGCACTGACACCACTGGATGCACCCTAAAATGAACAGCAAAGCACATAGATCTACACTCATACCATGGTGTTGCAGTGAGATGTTTAGATATGTGGCCACTTTGGTTACCAAGATCATCAGCAAAGACCACTACATTTCATCCAAACCTTATCCTAAATTGAAGCTCTTGGTGGTTTTTGTATTGCTTGCTTCAGGACAATAGGGACGCACACAGAAAACCTCTGAAACTTGCGATGAGAACCTGTCGCTTTTGTCGGATTTGCCGGTCTGGCGAAGTCCAGCCGCACTGCTGACATGTCATGACTGCACTTCTGGTGGCCTGAAGGGGAGTTGTGACTTCGAACAATCAGCAAGGAGCCCTGAACAAAAACATCAAACAGTCACGCATAAAGAGGAATGCGTGGCAAGAAGAGGAGGGGATGTACTCTTTCAGGACAACTCCCAAAGCACCTCTTCTTGTTAAGTAGAAGCTAAATGAGGACGTTTGTAGCTACAGACCTGAGGCCTATTTCCGAAACAGACATCCGCTCTCAGCGCCGATTATACATATATAATAGCCATATGTATATAATATATAGCTTCCTCACTCACACCATGATCCACAGGCACAATGTTGAATCAACATTGTAGTGACCACTCCCCACTGAGACAGTGTTGGCTGTTCTCAGCTCCCACCGCATCTACGGTGGGCAAAAGCGCCGTTCTCTTCTCGCCATGTGGTCCAACCGCACCACGTCTTAATCCGTGGCCAGCACATCGAAAGATGCCAAGACTGGACAAGGCGCCTCAACAGCTGTGCCTTTGTCTCTGAAGTGCCTATCTTACTGTTTTTAGATGTGCTTTGTCCATGCTCCAAAATCCAAGCGCTTCAGTGGGTGTTACAAAGTTGTTCTACTAGGGCCTAGGGGTTGTCAAGGCTCCAATATGAATTTTGATGAGGGCCTATTAAGCCGAGTGCCGAAACTCATCTTGCGGCGACATGATTTGAGATGCCCTAGCTGAGCGACTGGCGTTTAGACACCCACCTCATCTAGTGGCGTCCCTTTGGGCAATCTCCAACCTAAGAGCAATGGCCTCCAATATCCTCCAACCTAGTAGCGATGCCAACTAGTAGCGATGGCCTCCAACCTAGTAGCAACCAGGGTTTACGATATTTGCTGCTGACAGACCAACTCCTAAACCTGATGCAAAACGTCTTTCCTATCGGTCTTTGTAGATTGGTGTGTTTGGTGGAAGGTATCCGTGGAGTTCAAGGCAGGCTGAAGAGGAAGCCAGTGAAGACAGCAGACATATGTGTTTGCATAATGTGTATGTGTGATGCAAAGTCAATCATGCGCAGTCCGCCATTTCTTCCTCTTGTGTATAGGCATACATTACCTAAAACAAAATGATGGAAGTGGGCAACCACTTTGTTTGTAGAGGAAAATGGTCATCCAAGGGGTCATGCCATCCACTTCTATGACGATTCCAGGGAGTGTATATTAGACAGATCCATTGAAGTCGGAATGGAAGGGGTGATCCATTCGATCTGCGATTCATTCGATTCATTGGATAATGGAATACGAATATTCACTTCCCAGAGGCTGCGTAGAATGGAACTCGTTCCCCAATCGTCCTTTGTGGGAACGAGACCAGGGGCTCTTGGGAAAAGTCATCTTCAAAATGAGCTCAAAGGAACAGCCTCTCGAGGGATCCTTTGATCCTTCAGTACCCATCTTCGGTGTTTTTGCCACGTTGCAGATGCAGCGCCTTTGAAAGGCTGCTGTGAGTGAGGGGAGCTCCAGGGAAGCGTGAAAAGCATGTGGTCGCGTGGGGTTCGGGTGGCGGCTTTGGGTTCTTATGAGGCAGTCATCCGGGCTTTCCCCAGAAAGGCGGAAGGTGACTGATGGCCCCTATAGCAGCTTGCATTCCGGTGGCTATAATAAAGAATATCCGCTCGGCCAGAAAGGCACTTGAACTTCAAAAACGCTCCACAACAACCCAACAAAAGCCAAACACACTGAGTCTGGTCCACTTCGATTTTGCTTACTTCAGACCCTGAGATTCCACTTACTTCGGACCATATCGGATGGACTTACTTGGAGGGTGACATGTGATACGCGTGCGTCGCATCGGTCGCGGATTCGAGGCTCTTCGCCGCTCTTGCAGATGTCCTATGAGACCACCATGCAGTTCTTGTCCACCGCCTGTCAGGAGAGAAATGGAGAGAAAGAAGCTTCGGAAATGAAGAAGGGGGAAGTTGGTGTTCTTGTATTCCACTATTTGGCCCCAAAACGGGGCCAGTCCTCTCTCCGACGACTTGACTCAGTCAGTCCTTAGATCGCCAGGGGTCCGTCAGACATGCCAAGCTGTCGGACATGCTCCGCTTGACTGGGAGAGTGTTGTCCAGCGACCGTGGCATGTGGGGCGTGTGTTGAAATAGGGAGACCGTCTACAGACCCGCTGGAAGAGGGAAAATAGCCAATTCCTCTACCCATATTGGGAACGGTGTCTCCCTACTGAAATACACACCCATAGTGTTTTGTTGATCTCTGGAAAACAAATGGTGCAAGCTCCTGTAGGCGTGTTCAGATGTGCGTGGTTGTCAGACTAGTGTTGCTTGGATTTTTGCAGGAAGGATTGCTGGACAACATGCGTTCGCCTGTGCCTGGGCAAAACAAGGTCGAAGAGGATCAGGACATCCGAAAGCATCAGGACATCGTTCAAAAGATGCAACATCCCTCTCGCCCAGTTCAACGGGCCAAGTGTCTGGTTTTGATTTGGCCATGGTTCTTTCCACCAGCTTTGTGGGCCGCAGGGGCTCCAGTACCAAGCCTATTGTGACCATTGCAGGGCATCAGCCAGTACCAAACTACAGTATCATATACTGACAACAAGAATGACCCCGCCAAACATAAGCACCAGACATCCTGCCAGTGGAGGTCCCCCTCGTACCCGATTTAGTGGTCTCGTTTTCCCATGACCTCACCCGACGTCACCGGTCAATTCGACCTGTTTGTGTTCATGTATGGAAGACCACATGACCATATAAGGTAGGTCAAGTGGCCATGACCTAGTAAGTTCGACGAGTGGATGTCCATATTCATGTTGCCTTCTGAATGGCTGCGTGTACCTGAACATGTTTGAGTTGTGCCGATGCCATTTGACCAGTCCGCAGGGGCAAGACAAACAACGTGACATGCGTGAAGCAAAGGAGTTGTTTTTCTCCAGCGATGTTGAGCTTTTCGGAGCAAAGGGCTCAAATGGTACCTGAGAAACCTGCCTACGCTCGACTCCCCCCAGGTCCTTCCCCACGTCCTGCCACTTTTCTCAATACAAGAGAAAACAGGGTTCTGGCCCACAAAGCCTCTAGAAATTGCATCTTGACAAAAACCGCGCAACGTCAAAATGATTTTGCTTCTTCAGACGACCTAGGTCTTTTTTCAATATGGAAAAACACCTACGAGTTATTGTAGATGTTTCCAGACTTGACAACGCCCGATGACAAAAACGACAACTGACAACAAACAATTAGACAGATGACAGATAATGTCAAAAGCCAAAGCCAAGCACAATCCCAAGCATAAGCACAACACATCCCACCAGCACCCAGGGATACCACCAATGGCCCGACATGGCAGCAGAGAGCAAACATTGACACACAACACCAAGTCAAACACCAAACATAAACACACGACACCTGACAATACAAGGACAAGCTACAACAGATAGCAATGAACGACATACGCAACGGCACTCACCCAGCGTAACCACCAGCCACTCCCGCCACACGTGATGCTGGGATGACTCGCCCGTCACTCCGATGGTGAGAGTGAGGATAGCCCCAAAATACGGACAACTATGGGGTATTCTGTGTTCAAGGTCCAACCCAAAGAGGAAAGCAGTAGACTTAGACAATCAGTTTCTCCCAGACAATCAGTCTTCCAACGTCCGTCACTCCACAGCTGTGAGGCCAGCTCAATCGTCTTGGGGCGGCCACCAGAGGTCGGGACTGGTATGGTCCGGACACCCAGATGGGGACTGGGATGTTTGTTGAAGCCACTTCAGTGCTCCACCCGTTGCAGGGTTTCTGCCAAAGATCATTCATCTATGTCTGCTTGGGCTACCTCGATCCGACGAGGAACATAGGTGGTGTTGTGTCTTTTCAACCAGGTTGGTGCATATTGATATCGGTATCGTGTCGTTTCCTGGCCATGTCCATACCTGCTGGGGAAGTCAGTCTGACTCGGTAGCTATGCTCCTTTAGGAAAGTCTTGAATGACTAGACCAATCAGCATGATAGAAAGGTGTGTTTCATCTTCAACGAGGGCAGACATGGGCACTCTCACTAGACCGCCTCACCGCCTAGCCGCCGTGGCCTCCTTGGTGTTCTCCGCTTGGGCGACTGGTTGGGAGTCGGGCCGAACAAAAACTGGTCTACTTCAGGCATGAAAAGCACTGCCAGTTCTTTGGACCTCTGGCAATCCCCTCCGGGTCAACTGAACATGAACTACAAGACCCAGCTCACCCTTCATATAGGGACACCACAAAAGACTGCTAGTCCCACGAACGCGTTAAGATCTGTCAAGAGTCAGACCCCAATCAACCAATGTCGAACATTTGCCGTCCCTTGTCCAATGATGTTTTCCATGTTTTCTTCGTGCGTTTCAGCTTTGTTGGAGTTTCGCTGGAAAGACCCGACGTAAGAGGTCAATCTTCTCGTTGACCTTGATCCTCCGGTCGCCTCCTCAGCGGAGCGCGTAGCATTGTGGAGCATTGCCTGGTATGTTGATGT